ACTCAAATGGACCTCATGGACATCTACAGAACCTTTCACCCAAACTCAAAAGAATTTACCTTCTTCTCAGCACCTCATGGAACCTTCTCCAAAATATACCATATAATTGGTCACAAAGCAAGGCTCAACAGATACAAGAAGACTGAAATAATCCCTTGTATCCTATCTGATCACCATGGACTAAAACTGGACCTCAATGACAAAAATAGCAAAAGGCCTACACACACATGGAAACTGAACAACTTACTTCTAAATGACAGCTGGGTCAGAGAGGAAATAAAGAAAGAAATTAAAGACTTCCTAGAATTCAATGAAAATGAAGGCACAACATAAAGTTCATAGCACTAAGTGCATTCAAAAAGAAATTCGAAACATCTCATGCAAGCAACTTAATGGCTCACTTAAGAGCCCTAGAAAAAAAAGAAGCAGACACACCAAAGAGGAGCAGACGGCTGGAAATAATCAAACTCAGGGCTGAAATCAATCAATTAGAAACAAATAAAACAATTCAAAGAATCAATGAAACCAAGAGCTGGTTCTTTGAGAAAATCAACAAGATCGACAAACCCTTAGCCAAACTAACTAAAAGGCAGAGAGAAACTATTCAAATCAACAAAATCCAAAATGAAAAGGGGGACATAACCACAGACACTGAAGAAATCCAAACAATAATTAAGTCTTACTTCCAAAGTCTATATGCCACAAAATTTGAAAATCTAAATGAAATGAACAATTTTCTTGACTGATTCTACATGCCAAAGCTGAATCAAGACCACGTAAACCAATTAAATAGTCCTATATCCCCTAAGGAAATAGAAGCTGTCATCAAAAGTCTGCCATGCAAAAAAAGCCCAGGGCCAGATGGTTTCAGCGCCGAATTCTACCAGACCTTCAAAGAAGAGCTAATACCAATACTCTTCAAACTATTCCACAAGATAGAAACAGAAGGAACACTACCAAACTCATTCTATGAGGCCACAGTCACCTTGATACCTAAACCTCACAAAGACCCAACAAAGAAAGAGAATTTCAGGCCAATCTCCCTCATGAACATTGATGCTAAAATACTCAACAAAATACTTGCAAACCGAATACAAGAACACATCAAAGACATCATCCACTACGACCAAGTAGCCTTCATCCCAGGCATGCAGGGGTGGTTCAATATACGGAAATCCATCAATGTGATCCACCACATAAACAAACTGAAGGAGAAAAACCACATGATCATCTCCTTAGATGCTGAAAAGACATTTGACAAAATCCAACATCCATTCATGTTTAAAGTATTGGGCAGATCAGGTATACAAGGCACATACCTGAACATAGTAAAGGCGATATACAGCCAGCCTATAGCCAACATCAAACTCAATGGAGAGAAACTTAAATCAATCCCACTGAAATCAGGGACAAGACAAGGCTGTCCACTCTCTCCATATCTTTTCAACATTGTTCTTGAAGTCCTAGCTAGAGCAATAAGACAACTGAAGGAGATCAAGGAGATACAAATTGGAAGAGAAGAAGTCAAAGTATCACTATTTGCAGATGATATGATAGTATACCTGAGTGACCCCAAAAACTCTACCAGGGAATTCCTACAGCTAATTAACACCTTCAGCAAAGTGGCTGGATACAAAATTAACTCAAAAAAAATCAGCAGCCCTCCTGTATACAGAGGACAAAAGGGCCGAGAAAGAAATTAGGGAAACAACACCCTTCACAATAGCCACAAAGGACATAAAGTACCTTGGTATGAACCTAACCAAGCAAGTCAAAGACTTGTATGAAAAAAATTTCCAGTCTCTGAAGAAAGAATTAGAAGAAGAGATCAGAAGATGGAAAGATCTCCCATGCTCATGGCTTGGCAGGATTAATATAATAAAAATGGCCATCTTACCAAAAGCAATCTACAGATTCAATGCAATTCCCATCAAATTACCAATACAATTCTTTACAGACCTTGAAAGAAAAATTCTCGCCTTCATATGGAACAACAAGAAACCCAGAATTGCTAAAACAATTCTCTACAGTAAAAGATCTTCAGGAGGTATCCCCATCCCTGATCTCAAGCTGTACTATAGAGCAACAATACTAAAAACTGCATGGTGATGGCATAGAAACAGATTGGTGGATCAATGGAATCGAATAGAAGACCCTGACATAAATCTACACACTTATGGACACCTGATTTTTGACAAAGATGCCAAATCCATTCAATGGAAAAAAGATAGCATCTTCAACAAATGGTGCTGGTCTAACTGGATAGCTACATATAAAAAAATGAAAATAGATCCATACTTATCACCCTACACAAAACTGAAGTCCAAGTGGATCAAAGACCTCAACATAAAACCGGACACATCAAATTGGTTAGAAAAAAAAGTGGGGGATACCCTTGAACTCATTGGCACAGGAGACAACTTCCTGAACAGAACACCAACAGCACAGGCTCTAAGAGCAACAATCAATAAATGGGACCTCATGAAACTGAAAAGCTTCTGTAAAGCAAAGGATATTGTCCTCAGAACAAAACCACAGCCTACAGATTGGGAAAAGATCTTCACCAACCCTATATCTGACAGAGGGCTAATATCCAGTATATATAAAGAACTAAAGAAGTTAAACAGCAAAAAATCAAGTAATCCAATTAAAAAATGGGGTGCAGAGCTAAACACAGAATTCTCTGCAGAGGAATATCGAATGACAGAGAAACATTTAGAGAAATGCTCAACCTCATTAGCCATCAGGGAAATGCAAATCAAAACGACCCTGAGATTTCACCTTACACACATCAGAATGGCTAAGATAAAAAACTCAAGAGACAATACATGCTGGAAAGGTTTTGGAGAAAGGGGAACCCTCTTCCACTGCTGGTGGGAATGTAAACTTGTACAACCACTCTGGAAAGCAATCTGGTGCTTTCTCAGACAACTAGGAATAGCTCTTCCTCAAGATCCAGCTATACCACTCCTAGGCATATATCCATAAGATTCTCAAGTACACAATAAGGACATTTGCTCAACCATGTTTGTAGCAGCCTTATTTGTAATAGCCAGAAGCTGGAAACAGCCCAGATGCCCCTCAGTGGAGGAATGGATGCACAAATTGTGGTATATCTACACAATGGAATATTACTCAGCAATAAAAAACAAGGAAATCATGAAACTTGCAGGTAAATGGTGGGATCTGGAAAAGATCATCCTGAGTGAGCTATCCCAGAAGCAGAAAGACACACACGGTATATACTCACTCATATAGGCATATAATATAGGAAAAACCTATTAAAATCTATACATCTAAAGAAACTAATCAAGAGGGAGGACTCTTGCTAAAATGCTCAATTCCTATCTAGAAAGGCAAAGAAGCTGGACATCAGAAGAAGGAGAAAAGAGGGAACAAGTCAGGAGCCTGACACAGAGGCCCGGTGAAAATCTCTGCCCTGCAGACTATCAATGTAGATACTGAGAATTATGGGCAACCTTTGGGCAGAGTTCAGCGAATCTTAGGAAAAAAGTGGGAAACAGTAAGATCTGGAGAGGACAGGAACTCCACAAGGAGAGCAACAGAACCAAAAAATCTGAGCACAGGGGTCTTTCCTGAGACTGCTATTCCAACCAAGGACTATGCATGGAGATAACCTAGGACCCCTGCACAGATGTAGCCCATGGCAGTTCAGTGTCCAAGTGGGTTCCACTGTAATAGGAACAGGGACTGTCTCTGACATGAACTGATTGGCCTGCTCTTTAATTACCTCCCCCTGAGGGGGGAGCATCATTACCAGGCCACAGAAAAAGACAAGGCAGCCATTCCTGATGAGACCTAATTGACTAGGATCAGAAGGAAGGAAAAGAAGTCCTCCCCTATCAGTGGACTTGGGGAGGGGCATGCATGCAAGGGTGGAGGAAGGGAGGGATTGGGATGGGAGGAGGAAGGGAACCACAGGGGGGACACAAAGTGAATAACGTGTAATTAATAGAGAATAAAAAAGAAGAAAAAGTCCACTATAGCCCTCTAACGTTATCCCGGCGCTTAATATAGTGTCTTGTCACCAAAGAGTCATATTCATTCACTGAGTGAGTAAAATTAGATAGAAACGTTTCCTGAAAGTGCGAGGTCTGAACATCCACTGTCTATAGCGGTAAGAAAAGAGTTTAAAGGTATTTATTTAAGCACTAGAGACAAGTATTAAAGTACTGCTGCTGTACAAGATAGGAAACAAGGACTGCATATAGCATTGCAGTGGGAAATAAAATGGGCAATGTTTTCAGACTTGTAGAAGAAAGTTTTGCTGTAAATATTAAGAATGCATGTGTTACTTAAATACGCTGTCTTTTAGACAATGAGGTATTTGGGGAAATGAAAAGCACATTAGTTTATTGTAATAACCCACAGAAAGACAGTACTCTAACTGAAATAATTATTCTGGGAAATCTTCCCTGACTGGACAATATTCCAGAAGCCTGGAACTATTTTTTTTTTGGGGGGGGGTATAAAAAGTGAAGTGATAGTATGTGGGGAAAGATGCTACAGAGTGGGAGAACATCGGATGAGAAATTATTATTGATTATTAAGCCATTGGGATCTGGAAAAAACAACCATGGATGAGATGGATGAGAAGGAGTGAAGGGCTGATCTGTTTTGCAATGGCTTGACCCGATGGCAGGAGGAGAGTCAGGTGAAATTCCAGCTCCCAACAGTGACTCAGGAGTCCAGCCCTGAAGACCTTAGTGGAAGTGCCATGTTACTGCAGGCTTCTGCAACCGGCCTTGTTTGGGCTTCAGGGAGTGAGAGGGAAATTGCGCACATCTGATCGTGCTGCAGGCAGGATTCAGCAACCACCGGGTGACGCCTGGCTTTCCTCACCGGGCGATGGCGTCCACCGCCCCCGGGCGCGGGCCTGGCCCTGGCCCGGCAGCCCCGGCCGGCGGGGGGCCACAGGGCGCCCGGGTGACGGCGCGGGCGGTCACGTGGTCCCCGCCCCCCTTCCCTCGGGCCCTTACCCATGTGCTGCGTGTCCAACTGCACGGCCGGCATCTCCTTGAGAGGAATGTGGCCGGTCGCGCCGTCCCTGCAGCAGCGCAGGCAGCACCACGCCGACGCGGCCATGGCGCAGCCACACAGCGCCGCCGCTCAGCCCGCGCCCGGGGGCTTCTAGGGTCGCCGGAGCTGCGCAGCCGCACCACGGCCGCCGGTCCGGGCGGAGGGGCCGAGGCGAAGGCCGGGGCCCCGGACGGCGCAGCTAGGACAGCCCGGCGGGGCGGGGCGGGGCGGGGCGGGGCCCGGAGCTGGGCGGGGCCAACGACCAGCCCGACTGGAGAGGGGGTGGCGGGCGGGTGGGCGCGGCCGGTGGCCTGACGGGGGAGAGGGCGGGGCTGGGGAGAGGGCGGGGCTTCTGGAAGTAGGCGGGGCCGGTGGCCTGACGGGGGAGAGGGCGGGGCTTCTGGAAGTAGGCGGGGCCGGTGGCCTGATTGACGGCGGTGGGCGTGGCCGCCAGCGCTCGCTGGCCGCGGCGCCGTCTCTTCTAACCCTGGCAGGTGAGTGGCTGGGAGTCGCCGGGCTCTCGGGGAAGGAGCTGATGAAACGCGCGGAGTTTCCCCCCGAGCGCGCGGACCCTCCGCACCCGGCCACGCAGGCGCCCCCGGGACTTGCAGGCGCTCCCTTTACGACGGGACCGGAGGGGCGGGGGCAGTGCCGAGCACCGACTATAATTTCTAAGTGTTTACTGCGTGCTCGTGAGGCGCCACTGCCAGGCTCACCTCTCGTGCACAGCCATCCCAGGGTATCTTCTGAAGACACACTCAGTTCTTACCAGGGCTTGTTGCTTCTGTTACCACACAGAAGGGGGACCTTCGGAGAGGTGTAACAGCTAACACTCGTTATCTGTCACTTACATTACCCTTCAGACATCATCTGGTGTCCTAACAGAATCAAACTTCTCTTCCAAGATAAGGTTTCCACCGTGTCAGTTCTCCCGTTCTTCATCAAGCCCTGGGAAACTGAACATAAATTCCCAATTCGCTAAGTAATGGTTTCCCATACATAATGTGTTAGCTACCTGACTAAAAATACCCTTTATGGAGACTTTTATCTATATAATCAGGGACATTTCCAGGCTTTGATCTCTTTTCTATTTATAAAAATATTTTCATTATAATACTAAGGAAAATATCCAAGGCTTACTTGTGCTTTGAGGTTTAGTTTCACAGAATTAACTAATCCAAAGTAATTGCTAAAATGATTGAGGGCTATCCCTACCCCTCACTGCCTATTTATCTCTGAGGTACTCTCTTGGTAATCGTTCCCTCTCTCTGTCTTTTTCACACACACACACACACACACACACACACACACACACACACACACGACTGAATTCTTACAAGATTTCAAGGTCGATACTGTCCCTACTTTATAGATGAAGAAATAGACTTAGATGAAATGACTGCACTTTCACAAGGGAGGAAACAAACAAAGTGGGATTCAAAACCCAGGGGTCTGACTCCACCCCTCTATTTACATCGCCAGATCTTGAAGATTAAACTGAAACAGTTACAATCTTCTGAAAATGTTCAGTTAAAAACAAAGATTTACACTTCATATTTGTGTGTTTTATTAGTCTCCACTTAGCTAATCTGCTATAACTTATGTGTAGATAATAAAACTTGTTTTATAAACCAAATCTGTTGCTTAGAAGTGTTATTAAAAGTAGTACATGTGCTGTATATGTCATCATCGCCACATCTTTAATACATAAAGACTGTTTGTTAAATGGCTGTGAGTAGGTCTGTAATGTAGAGAGGCAGAAATCCAATGGAAAAGTAAGTGTTAGGGCACTGCCCAAAATACTTTGCCCTTTCTGTCAAAGCTCAGGTATACTCAACAGGCTGAAGCAAGCGAAACTGATCAGCTCTGGGAACTGACTTTCCAGTCTTTGCAGATGAGTGGCAATGAGCTCCTATCTGGGTTCTATTCTTTTTATTACTTTCAAAGGTGTCACCGGTTCTTTTTGAAAAACAGGTATTTTGTCAGTCTTTCACTCTCACTCTAAATAACATTCACAAATAAACCTACAAAAGAAGTTTCTCAGCAGTTAGAATGTTGTTTATCTAAGTCAAAAGCAGAACAACGAATGACTACCAGGCAAAAACTTCTGCCTCACTGAGGTGTGCTCCGAGCAGGTGAACTGATAGGATAATAGTGTGCAGCATGTGGCTGACAGTGGAATTTAAACATGCTTGGGATTGTCTTTGATGTTTTTTGTGGAAGGCAGACATACACTGAGTTTCATACTTTGCACTGGGTGACACAAAATGTTTTCTTAAGAAACCATTTATTGGGGCTGGAGAGATGGCTCAGAGGTTAAGATCACTGGCTGTTGTTCCAGAGGTCCTGAGTTCAATTTCCAGTGACCACATGGTGGCTCACAACCATCCATAATGGGATTTGATGCCCTCTTCTGGCAGGCAAGTGTACATGCAGATAGAGCACTCATATACATTAGTCTTAAAATATTTTTTTTTTAAAGAAATCATCAGTTTTTAAGTTCGTGGACTAATCCAAACCATATTTTAGATTCTTAAAATTTACAAACAGCATTAAAGGAAAAAAAAAACACAAAACAACTACCAAAACCCTACTTCTGTAAACTAATATGCTTTTGTTGGCTGCAACCCATTCCCAGTTGCCCTGGAGTAAGATTGACATTTCTCTAGTGCTTCAGATAATCAGGCAGTGATCTAAGTGCTTTGTGTAAACTAACCCTCACAACAGCCCCCCTGGAAGGGAGTGACTACTTTTTATTTTGCAGAAGAGGAATCTGAGAAGAAGAAAACACAAGACATGGAGCTAAAGTCCCATTCCATGAGAGATGGCACTGCACCCAGTGTGGCTTTTCTGCCTCTCTGCTTAGGCACTGTGTGAACTGCCTCCCCGGGTACTGTATTTAAGAAGACGTTCTATCATTGCTTGAATATGAATGTGCCCCACAGTCTTAACGTGTTGAACACTAACTCCTCCCCCGACTGGGTGCTCCGTTTTAGAAGTGTGAAATGAAGGCTTTTGAGACTGACCTCACAAGCAGAAGTGGGCTGCTGTGGGAGGCACATGAAGGTAATAGGTAGTTCTGGTTTTAGCTAGAGCTGTCCTTTCCCTCATCTACATCCTCAGACTCCTGCCCCCACGATGGAACTATCCCAGGACTGTACCCTCCTGAACCATTAGCAAAATAGAAATCCTTTCTTCTTGAGTTGTGCATGTCAGGGATTTGGTCACAGAAACACAGAAGTTTGCTAGTCTGACATTTAAAAAATATATACATATATATATTTCACCTTCAAGTCCTCATCCCAGATGTTGACATTTAAATCTATCTGGTTTTAATTATAGTCATTTAATTCAAATTTACTGAATTATAAAGTATATAAAATAATGAACGACCAAAACTATAACCTGATTTTTGTTGTGAGCCTAGCTTTTAGTGGCTGAGCCATCTCTCCAGCCTCAAAATTTAAGATTTAAAATGAAGATTTTTGTATTTAAGATTTTGTACCACCATTAGTTGGCTTGAATGTGCTCCATTAGCAGCATCTTTGAGTGTTACTCATTTTTTACAGGATGTCTTTAAAGGTTACTAAGTATTTTTAATTGCTAAAACCTTTACTCACGGTTGGCAACCTGGAAAATATTTAGGAATAAAAGAGAAGATTTGGTAAAATAAAGGACTTTGGAAAAAGGATAGAAAAAGGGTAGTGTAAAATGTTTTAATATAAAAAATATAGCAAAGACTCTCTAAGGCAGGCTCTATGATTTTTTTTAAATATTATTTACTCAAAGCTTTAAACCATCTTTCCTTCAGTGGAAGATAAAGAAGGCTGTTGCAAACCAAAGGGAGCTGTGACATACTGTCTAGCCACAACCCCCTTATAAGTGCAAGTTGGCTGCCTCTCAGCACCTCTTCCTTGCCAGTTATGGCCTGAGCACCCACTAGAATAGTTTCGGTAACAGGCTGTTGAAGAGACAGAAGGGAAGTGTGATGGCTGTTTTTGGTTGTCAACCTGACTACATCTGGAATGAACTTCAACCCAGGAATGTGAGAGGTTTTTTGTTTGTTTGGTTGGTTGGTTTGTTTGTTTTCTGGTTTTTGTTTTTGCTTGGTTTGAGGTCTGTGAATCCACGAATAGTCCAGATGTTTAAGGTGGGAAGAGACAAGCCTTTGAACCACATCTTGAGGTGGGAAGGCACACCTTTAATTTGGGCCACATCTTCTGTTGAAAGTCTATATAAGGACAGAGAAGAAGGAAGCTTTTTTGGGGGGAGGGGGAGGGAGGGGTGGTCGGATTTCTCTGTGTAGTCTTGGCTGTCCTGGACTCTCTCTGTAGACCAGGAGACAAGCCTGGGATTAAAGGCTTTCAACACCACTACCCAGCAAGCTCTTGCTCTTTGCCTGCTTGCCTGAAGTCAGGCGGTGTGGCTGTTCTCACCAAAGCTGTAGTGGGCATCACCACAACCATGAAGAACAGCAAGAGGTCTATGTACAGCACACTGTAGTCCACAGGATGAGGCAAAGTCTCCTCACACGGAGAAGCTATCAAGAGAAGGGCTTGGGGTAGAAGTCACAAGAGCAAGGAGAGCAAGGAGCACACTCCTTCATGACCATATTGCTAAATGATTGGCCAGGTGTTTGCCTCAGCTCTCACACACCAACTCAGCCCATTAGGTTTCTCTGAGTTCTCTCATCAACTGGATTGTAAATGGTTCTGGTTTCCTGAGCTGCATTTCTCCAGGACCCAGACAGCGCACACGCATTCCTAAGAATCCCTAGTGGTCACTGCTGTCAACACATTCATGAAGATTGTGTCTTCAGGTCTTATAGACACTGACACCCACCAGGAGCCTCCTGATGTGTCCTTCTGGCCAAATAGTTCAGTTCAAAGTCCATTCTTGACTTTGGCTTTTTTGTCTGAAGTTATTGTTTGTACCCCAAGGAATAAGAGTCACACCATAGCTGGGTCTAGAATCCTTCTCCTTAAACACATGTCAGAAGTTGATCTGAGTAGTGTATGTTTACTGCTTACTAGAGAACATGACTTTCACCAACATTACTGGACATCGTTTTGTAAAAGTAACAAACCACAGTCAACAGCATCTGAGTGATATCCACATTATTCATGATGAGCTACTGATAGATCACATCATTCTGTAGCTAGGCATAATGTAGTCATGCTACCAGCTCACCTGAAC